CCTAACCATAAAATGGCATTTTTCCCAATTCAATACTAGGTTAGTTTCCTCACATCTTTTAAGCACCCTAGACAGATTATGTAAGCATCCATCAAATGAAGAGCCAAAAACTGAAAAATCATCCATAAAAATTTCCATGAACTCATCAAAAAATTCAGCAAATAAAGCCATCACACATCTTTGGAACGTACCTGGAGCGTTGCACAAACCAAAAGGCATTCATCTAAAAGCAAAAGTACCATATGGGCAAGTAAATGTTGTTTTCTCTTGATCCTCAGGAGCAATAGGAATTTGATGATAACCAGAATAACCATCCAAAAAACAATAATATTCATGTCCAGCAAGTTTTTCAATCATTTAATCAATAAATGGTAGTGGATAATGGTCTTTTCTAGTAGCTTCATTAAGTTTCCTATAATTTATGCACACTCTCCACCCTGTTATTATTCTAGTGGGAATTAATTCATCATTTTCATTTTTTACCACAGTTGTCCCACCCTTTTTAGGCACTACTTGCACAGGACTCATCCAAGTACTATCAGAGATAGGAAAAATAATACCTGAATCCAACCATTTGATTACCTCCTTTTTGACCACCTCTTGCATATTAGGATTAAGGCGTCTTTGAGGTTGAACAATCGGCTTGTGCCCCTCCTCCAACAGAATTTTATGCATGCAAATCAAAGGGCTAACTCCTTTGATATCCGCTATGCTCCATCCTATAGCTCCTTTGTGTTCTCGCAACACCCTTAAGAGTTTCTCCTCCTTTATTCCTGTCAAAGAAGCAGAAATTATAACAGGTAAGGTATTTGAATCACCCAAATAAACATACTTTAATTGAGAAGGAAGAGGTTTTAATTCAAGAGTAGAGGGCTCCTCTTTGGATGGCTTGACTGTCATAGTGGACGGTGCATCTAAGGACAGAAAATTCCCTCCTTTTTGTGGCTGCCTATGGCATTTTTCCCCAAGAATAGCTGCTGCCTCCAAAATGTTATTGTCTGCACTATCAACTTTCACATCCAAAGCATTAACAATGCAATTATCAATAGGATCATCTAATCTAGAAGCATTAAAATTTTCAGCCAATAAATTGTCTACCACATCAATCCTTAAAACAGCACTGCCATCATGATCACAATTTTTCATAGCATCAAACACATTAAAAACAATCTCCTCATCATGTATTCTAAGGCTAAGTTTCCCTTGTTGAACATCAATAAGCGCTCTACCAGTAGCAAGGAATGGTCTACCAAGAATCAAAGGCATTTCAAAATCCTCTTCCATGTCAAGAACAATAAAATCAACAGGAAAGATAAATTTGTCAACTTTTACCAAAACATCCTCTACCACTCCTCTTGGATATTTAATGCTCCTATCTGCCAATTGAAGAGAAACTGTGGTAGGTGTAGGTTCTCCTAATCCAACTTTCCTAAATACATGAAAAGGCATCAAATTAATGCTAGCACCCAAATCACACAAAGC